TCTCTTCTCAATGGATCCCTCTCAGGAGCTCGAGAACTAGCACTCTGTGTTCGTGGCCAGGTTCCCTGCATCTTCATCATCACCCTGATACCACTGCCTTCTTTGCACGGGATTCGGCCACTGAAGTGATCTCATCATGCAGTATGTGTTGTGTGCCGAGGCCAGACCACACACCCCCACAGGTTCTGGTCGTGCCGGCACACAAGAGTCAAATCTTGGTCAAACCCTCAAGCGAGGTTTCTTAGGGACTCCCAGCTAGATCACTAGACTCAAACGTAGGGTAGGCTCATGGAAAATCCCAAGACATGTGGTCTAATCCGAATGTGCATGTGTCCAGAAAGGGCTGCCTCATTCCCGATGCCTGAGCAGTGGGCAGCAGGTCCAGAGGCACATGCGGAACATGATGCCCAGTACTTCTAGGCCAGCAGGGGATGCCGTCGGCCTCCTCACAGGATAGAAAGCACAACAGCTTACACAGCTCTCCTGCCCAAGCCTGGCAGAAAGTCCCTGCATTTGTGCATGTACTGGCATTCACTTGGACAGCGAACACACCTTGAAAAGATGTTCCTGACCAAGCTGCAACAAAACAAACTCTCAGAAACGGCAAACCCACTCAAGGAACACGCTCACAACATGCTTCCCCACCTTGGGGTCTCTAAGGCATCATCCCATCACCATCCCCAACCCCGCCCAGGCACTGATGTGCTTGGACCAAAAACAGCCGTCTCCTTCCCTTCACCAACACAGGACACAGGAAGAAAACACAGAACAAGAACTGAGACAGTTGTTCCACCCACCTACTTCCATACCTCAACCCTCCCCACCGAATCCAAGGACCATATGGGCATGCATTCCTCTCAATTATGTAATCAGTATTACAAGTAAAATATGAATTAAAAACATCTAAAGTCAGGGCCTTCTGAGAAGGAATGGTTGCCACTTGATCATGTCCTTTACTTCCATGTGCCCTGCTACAGGACTTAGCATTTCCCTTTCAGAGGATCCTAACAATCCCAGCAGAACATCTCTGGAAAGGTTTTCACCTGGAGGCCAGATGAAATTCAAACTCCAATCATGTATTCACAACCTCAACATGAACTTTCTTAACTGCAACAGGAAGTGGTTTCCTTTGGCGCTTCTTACGAGTATTCAAATCAGCACAGCCAAGTGGTGTCCTGCTAAAACCGCACCTCCATGTCCAAGGGCTCCATCTTTATCCTAAACTTTATCATTCACATTCGAAATTGTCAATACTTTACAGGGAAAAACAAGCTGCCATCCTGCACCAAGCACCAGGTGGGTTTGAGGAGACAGAGTAGAGCCAACAAAGTCATGCCCTCAACAGCGACTAACTCCGTAGAGAAATAGAAAGCCCAGGTTAATGTAAGATCAGACCAACAATGAAATACACCACATCAATACTGTATTATAGCAATGTAAATCATTTGATCTTTCCTACTCCTAACTTGTCAGCCAGCATGCCAACAGTAGAGGACATTCAAACATTAGACCTTAAAGTGTTTCAGAAAGCTTCTTCAGGAACATAAACATAGCATGTATTTCAGTGCAGCAACAACAAAATGTCAAACAATTTGATTTCAGCTTTCAAAGGAGAAATCTAATGGAGAGACAGAGATCTGCCTTCCACTGGTTCACTCCGCAAAGGGCCACTAAAGCCAGAGCTGGGTCAGTCTGATACCAGTAGCCCGAGCATCTTCCTGCTCTGTCACGCAGCAGTGCAGCAGTGCAAGCACCACTTGAACCACACTCTGATGCTCTCCCAGGCACAACAGCAGAGAGCTGATTTGCAAGTGGAGCTGCTGCCACTCAAAAAGGACCCCAATGGGCAGTACAGGTGCCACAAGGGAGGTTTAGCCTGCCAGGTCACAGTGCTGGCTACTCAAAAAATTATCTGCTAAAAAAACATTCATGTGAAACATGAAGATCATGGAGTCCTCAGCTATCGCTCAATTCCCAGGCTCCTCAAGTGGGGGAAGGCAGTCAAGCTTTGAGACATCAACTGCTTTCCAGACTGGCCCAATGGCCTAGCAAACACATCCTCACTTTGCATGCATCACAATTCCATATAGATGCCACTTTGTTTCCTGGCTGCTCCACTTTCCATCCAGCTCCCTGTTTGAGGGAGGCCATGGAAAGCAGGAGAGCAAGGTACAAAGTCTTAAAACCTGCACCTGCACGTGAGACCCACAAAAAGCTGCTGGCTCCTGGCTATGCATCACCTCAGCTCTGGTGATGGACCTGGCTGGACTGCTGCTGTGTCCACTATGTGCATGAGAGCTACAACTATGGGCTGGTGCTCTGGCCAGGACTGAAGCACCTGCCTGCCATCACATCATCCCCTGAAGAGTGACTATCTCCATTAATAGTAAGCCCTGGTTAATCTATGATCATTCCAATAGTGAAATACACATCACCAATAGTATCTATACTGTAGGAAAGCAATCCATTTTATCTTTCCCCACTCCTAATTTGGGAGCCACCACACTAATATTAGGGGACATTGAAACAATTTGACAGAAATAACACAATAGGACACAAAGCATTTTGGAATGCCTTTTCAGGAACATAAAAGCTACAACCATTTCAGTGGTACAACAACAATGTCAAACAACACTGATATTCATCATCAGTAACGCATGAGCATATGTTTGTACATGCCTAAGTATGGGAAAATGGAAGATATGATTGAACATAAACCAGTCAAATGATACATATTCAGAATTCTCAAATCGCTCAGCGAAATCATGCAGAAAAGAGGCTGATTATAATGTTCCACTTACAAAAACGATGCTTGAAAAGGGTGGCAGGAATGTAGCATCCTTGAGGGGTTCCCAATCCCAAATACCAGGGTTCTGAAACTCCATGTTGCATCCAGATATACCCAAACTGTTTAAAAAGGAGATATATTTGAAGATTACAGAACATACACAAACACATAAGAAATTACAGAAAATTTATTTCCACGTGTCTATTCTAGATTAAAGAGGTACAGGTGCACTCAGAGCTTAATTTAGCAAATTTTTATGTTCTTCTGAATCCATCTTAAATATCCCAAATACAATTAACACACAGCCTTTCTCAGTTGCTGGTACCAAATGAGGATTTGAAGAGACCAGGTTACAGATGACCTTCCCAAGGTTTTCTCAAATCATTCATAAACGGACTGTATACAACACTGATCTTGACTCTCTTTTCTTCTCTCCTCTTGCCTCTCAAGTCTTCAAAACCTGATCTCATCCCAGCAATGCCCCATCTTAGCTGATGGACCCACCAATGTTATGCTCAACAGCCCCAGAACCACAGAGGATACGCTAGGTCAGTATCCCTGAGCCATGCTCATCCTTCCTCTGCTTGAATCCTCGAGTGCAGTCACATTTAATTAGTATCATTTAACTAGTAGACGTAGAACATATTAGCTTAAAATTCAACTTCTTTCTGGGCAAACAAATTCAACAAAGATGACTTATTTAGCCCTCCAACACAGGCTCTGTAGTAGCTACACAATAACTCAAATAATTAGTTAAAAAAATTAAAAAACAACATTAAGGGAAGGCTTTCCTCTCCAATATATATCTTCCAAAAGTTTATAAGTAACAGACAGACTGGTTCACCAATTAACCCTCAGCAACTCAGTCCTTATTCAGCTCCCAGAGAAGATAGTGTCTTTTTTTTTTTTTTTTTAATAAGACAGCAACATTCTGTCTATGGTTATATCTCGAAACAATTTGCTACCTTATACTGTACTAGAATAAAATGAGATGCTGATATACTGTTAATGAGATTACAGCTAAGAATAAGGCAACCTACCATTTGTACCACATAGATTCCAACACGCTAAGATTTATTTCCCTTTTGAATATACATTAAAATTCATAATATATACAAAATACAGAGATAAATACACTGTAGACCCACATTAAGTGAAAAAGAATTTTACATGAATGCTATCTCAAAAACAAAAATGAAGAAAAGCAAGTTTATCATGAAGCATCTGGTCAGGAGCTCCATACTCCCCATTGCTCAACTACCCTCGGGACATTTTCTTTTTTTAAGATTTATTTTATTTTTATTGAAAAGCCAGATAAACAGAGAGGAGGAAAGACAGAGAGGAAGATCTTCTGTCCAATGATTCACTCCCAAAGTGACCGCAACAGCTGGTACTGTGCTGATCCAAAGTCAGAATCCAGGAACTTCTTCCAGGTCTCCCACACGGGTGCAGGGTCCCAAGCCTTTGGGCCATCCTCGACTGCTTTCCCAGGCCACAAGCAGGGAGCTGGATAGGAAGTGGAGCTGCTGGGATTAGAACTAAGTCCCATATGGGATCCCGGCGCATTCAAGGTGAGGACTTTAGCTGCTAGGCCATGTGGCCGGGCTCGCCTCAGGACATTCTTGAGTGGACCCCACAGAGTTTCCAATAGCAAGGTGCCTCTATCACAGAAGCATGAAACTCAACTTGCATCTTCTCCAATGTCTATGCCTACACTACTCAGGAGTCACACACAAGCAAGTTGTCTTCTAGCAAATTGTATTTTCAATCAAAAGAGCAGTTGATAAACAACAAGAATAAAAGTTCATCTCTTAGGGCCCGGCGGCGTGGCCTATGGCCATATGGGCGCCGGTTCTAATCCCGGCAGCTCCACTTCCCATCCAGCTCCCTGCTTGTGGCCTGGGAAAGCAGTCCATGATGACCCTGCACCTGTATGGGAGACCTGGAGGAGGTTCCTGGCTCCTGGCTTTGGATCGGCACAGCACCAGCCGTTGCAGTCACTTGGGGAGTGAATCATTGGACAGAAGATCTTCCTCTCTATCTCTCCTCCTCTCTGTATATCTGACTTTGTAATAAAAATAAGTAAGTCTTTAAAAAAAAAGTTCATCTGACATCTAAGTTTTTCATGGCATAACAGTTTACCTAAAATATTTCCCAAGCTCAGTTTAGTTACCTCTGCCTCTACATCCACATTTTGTTTCAAAGGCAACTTCCAAATGTCAACATGTTCATGGTGAGCAGTAGCTTGCAAAGCTGTAGGGTCAGCACAGTGTCCAGTCTCTGAATAAAAAAGAAAGGATGGGCAACTGTCACAACTGAGAATCAACATACATGTACAATACAGTTATGAGTTCAGCAAACCATGATTTAATCAGAATGATTTCATAGTCCTTTATATATTTTTTAATTAAAATTGGTTTTCCATACATGTTAGTCATTTAATTTACAGAACAAAGGCAACCTTATTTTAAAAAGGAAAAAACGTTCCAATATTCAACAAACTAGAATTGTGCAGAAATTTCTAAGTTTAGCCTTAATAATTAAGTTCTATATCGTTATCTGACTCGATGCTCAAAGAGAAGACATCACACATGCTCAATTTAAATTTCTACAGATCGATTCTAAAAATTCTACTGTTTCAAAATATGGTGGGTAGAAGGAAAAATGGAAAAGACCACAACTTGACAGCCAAGGCTCAATAATCAAACTACTAAAATTGCAAGCTGTTACCTTCTAACGATAAAATCCTCAAATCGGGCAACATGCATTTGAAATGTTCTTCTGCTCACTTTCCAAGATACTTACTGTTCAAATTGAATTTAAATAATGTGTAATACTGATAGGTTACAAATCAGAGAACTTTCTCTTCAAAAGGAAACTTAACCACAAAATAAAACCATGCAGCTCTTTTTCATGGTCACATGACAGAAAAATTAACAACACAGCTCATTCACTATATGGAATTTTCTACCTGCAGACTAATAACAACAATAAAAGCAGATGAAAGCTTCCTCTACTGAGGACCACTGTGAGGTTTCCTACACTTGCTCACCTCACACAGCCCTCCAGCACTGACACTGCCCACCCAGGAAACACAACATTTCTAGGGGCCAAGATCATACAAGCTACTCAAAATATCACGATCATGCTAAGAACTTGTCACAAAAGAGCTCCATCTTTAAGGTGCTAGATCAAACATGTGACTACATCTCTAGGTAAAATAAAGTCACAAAAGAAAATCTAATTTAATACTGTGAAAAGGAACAGTCCTTACACCAATAACAGTCCTTATAGCAGTAACATTTAGTACAGTTTAACAGTGCAAAATAGTTACTTGAAACTCAGGCAGCTCCCACAAGAAGAACATCTGAGAACACCAACCAACTCAATCAGACACCATTTATGAAAACAGGAGCTGGTCATCAAGAACAACTGAACTGCCTACAGCCTAGTCCATTTGTCACTGCCTAACAAGCTGATGACAGCTGGACCTGGTAACAAGACCTGTGGCCTTCTGAAACCAATTCATTGTCATTACGTTATACACTGTTGGGCACCATGCTGGCGTACAACACAAATCCACGGCCTCCCACAAACATACTAACCCTAGACTGCACCGTGGTATCACTCAGGACAAATGGGCTGTGTTCTTGTGCTCAGTAACTGTTTCTTACATAGAATCATTTCCCTTTCTTCGCATGCTGGGGAAGAAGCCTTTTCCTAGACATAGCCCCGGTTGCTCTGAATCTCAGGTCTTAAGTGCTGTGCATTGCACCCACCAAGAGGAGCAGCCTCCACAAAGCTGAGACACTGCCACCAATGTCTGCTCATGCACAAGAGACATCCAGCAAGCCTCCTCCACAAAGCACCTGCACAAAACCCTGCTGGGAGCTACAGCACCTGCAGGTGAACCCACTCAGTGGCATCAAACCCAGATTTTGAACATCAATTTCCCAATGTTGTGCAACAGGAGGTGGACCAGGGAGAAATGAAGTTAACCATTTTCAAAAACGTTGCTGAACTTCCTCCTGTTTGTCCCCCTATAGATTGTACATGGAGTCCACCAAGCAGTTTAGAATTAGGATAATACAACGAGGAAGGGCAGGAGGGGAAAATGGGAAAGGAGGAAGAGGAGAAGGAGAAAGGTGAGAAATGAACGCCTACAGTTACTATAATGCATCGCAAGAAAAAAGTTATAAAATAATTCGTAGATGAAAGGAATGTGGGTTTAATGCCCACTTCACTTTTATGACATACATCCTTCTTGTCTGGGGAGGGTGGGGAATTTACATCATTATCAGGACAGGAACAGTTAAACCTCAAAAGAAATCCCTAAAGATTTCCTGCAAGACACACCACCAATTCTAAAGCTGATTTCAACTATTTAGAAAAGCTTGCTTGCCACACTTGAAATATGTAGCAGCCACAGTTTTGACCTTGCAACTCTCTGCCCAATAACAACTCTTAACAAACGAATACTAATTGAAAAACTGAAAAACTGAAAAAGTGAATACTGTTTGAGGATAACCCAGGCAAGCGACTCCCTAACTTGGCTGCTGGCCCTTACAGACCTTCTAAATCTCCCTGGCTATTTTTTTCCTCCCTTGTGCATCCAAGCCCACCTGCAGAGTGAAAACAACTGGTCCCAGGAGCAACCCATGATTCCTACTGCCGAGCAGTCTTCATCCTGCCACAAAGTAAAAAGTTAGGACAGGCACCCGAAAAGTCCTGAGAGCTTTCAGCTGAAGACCAGGCAGCTGCCCACAGCGCGGTGCGCCCCCACAGACCCCAGCCCCTGACCAGGCATGCAAGTGCACAAACAGCCCAGTTGGGCCACTTCCCAAACCTTCCTCCGGAGCTGCCGCAGCCCGCCCACCACAAGCCCACACCTCCAGTCCGCAACACCCCGGAACCACGATCCTGCCAGACCACCGTCCTCACAGCCGCTTCCAAAAGCCCATCTCCCTCCACCGGGCGCCAAGGGGGCTCCCCGAGCACCAACCCAGGACTCCCGCACCAGGGCTCTACCGCCAGAAAAACTCACAAAGGCCATTCCTCCAGTGCTCCGGGGGTTCCTGAGGCCGGGACCACAAGCACGGGCTCCCCGTCTGCACTCCCGTCAGTGGGCTCCTGCAGCACCCCCGGCACCCAGGGCCCAGTGCAAGGCGGCCAGATCCTCCCGTCCACCGGCTGCAGGAGCACGGGAGCCAGCACGTCCAGCCAGCTGGCCCGCCCCACACCTGTGTGCAGGGCCACACCCCGCCGGGCAGGCCCCGCCCTCACGCCACTCCTATTGGTCCTGGGCCAGCCAGGCCCACCCTCACTCCACTGCTATTGGTCCTAGCCAGCCACGCCCCATCCCAGGTTCTGCCTGTTGCTACCTGGAGAGCACTGGGGAACTCACAGGTGGCAAAGTGCTTAGTGCAGGGTACCCAGGACCTGCCTGTGTCCAGGAGACGGAGACCCATCCCTTCACCCCAGGCAAAGCAAAATAAAAGCTCAGCAATTCATTCTCTGGAAATTCGTTAAACAAATACATCCCTAGGCTCGCCAGAGGCTGTGGGTTGTGCTCTCTGCCTCTGTACCACACTGGATACACAGAGGGTCTAGCCAGAGGAGTTAGCACAGTACATCACGATGTGAAGGCTCAGTCTTTTTCTCAATAGTCCTTTGCCTACCCGTGGCTTTACAAAAGTACAAAATCAGCAACCCCCCCAATCCCATACAAAAGCAGAGGTTAGTACCAAACCAACCCAAGATGCTACCTTGTTCTAGAATTCTATAAGGTTTCTTTTCCTATAGCATAAAAAATAACATGACGCTGCCTTTCCAAAAGAAGCTGCATCCTATCTTCCACAATATTCTCCTAATAAACACAAAGTACATTGAACTGCTTGACAGTGACCTCAGAAGCAGAAACACAATTTCTGATGATGGAGCGTCGAAATAGCTAATACCAACTCCCATCACTCAAGCCTGTCTGCATTTCCAAATTATTCAAGCAATAATCTGTCCCAAAAATCTGCCTTCCTTCAAAATAATACTGATATTGAAGAGAGACTCATCTTGAAATCTTTTCCCATATGCTCCAGCACTCTAAGGAATTACTTAAAGGGGACCATGCCATGGCTCAGCAGCATAATCCTCTACCTTCAAGCACCAGCTTCCCAGGCATCCAGCTCCCTTCTTGCAGCCTAAAAAAGCAGTAGAGGATGGCCCAAAGCCTTGGGATTCTGCACCCTTGTGGTAGACCAGGAAGAAGTTCCTGGCTCCTGGCTTCAGATCAGCTCAACTCAGTTTGCTGTTGCCAATTGGGGTGTGAATCAATGGATGAAGTTTTTTCTCTGTGTTGCTCCTTCTCTGTAGATCTGACATACCTATCCAATAAAAATAAATAAAATCTTTCTAAAAAGGAAGGAAGGAGGGGAGGAACTGGGTGTGCCAGTGGGTGCTGCAGCCCGTACCAGCCCAGTCTGTCCCCAATCCCACCACTCATGAGCACCATGGTCGTGCCTGCTCAGCTCTTCACTACCCCCAGCTTTTGTTTATTTGGGTTTTTTTAGATTGATTTATTTTTATTGGAAAGTCAGATTTACAGAGAGAAGAGCCACAGAGAAAAATCTTCCATCCACTGGTTCATTCCCCAAGTGGCCACATCAGCCAGAAATGGGCCTTTCTGTAGCCAGGAACTACTTCCAGGCCTCCCACATGGATGCAAAGTCCCAAGGTTTTGAGCCATCCTCAACTGCTTTCTCAGGCCGTAAGTTGGGAGCTGGATGGGAAGTAGAACACTTGGCACACAAATCTGTGCCCATCTGGGATCCTGGTGCATGCAAGGCTGGATTTTAGCCACCAGACTACCATGCCACCTCTTAAACAAACTAGCAGGAATCAGCAGTTCCACAGGGGTGGCCTCACATATCCCCCACAGAACTCTTTGCCTACTATTTGCATGAAGTATCTTTTTCTTCCTTTCAATCTATCTGTGTATTTGAATCAAAAGTGATTCTATAGGCAACATACAGGTGGATCTTTATCAACTCTTGTCTTCCATTCCTGCCTTTTACAGTGGGGAGTAATCCATTTACATGTAAAACTACCACAGGGAAGAATTTTTCATGTTGCTCTTTGCTTTTTATCTATCTTTTTTAAAAAAAGATTTTTTTTTTCTTGGAACATCAGATATACAGAGAGGAGAGACAGAGAGGAAGATCTTCTATCCGCCGATTCACTCCCCAAATGGCTGCAACAGCCAGAGCTGAGCTGATCCAGAGCAGAAC